GTGTGCACCCGCTCTTTTCAATTTATTCAAGGTAAATGAAAAAAACATAAAAGAAAATTAAAAACAAAATTACACAAACACACATAAAAGTGTAGCATTTCACCGGCAACGGTGCCAAATTTGACGAGCACTTTGTCGTAGTGTGCCACAAATTAAACTCACTAGTAAGGGCTAATACCGTAGTATAGCGTAGTAGAGTTTGTATCCACAGGGAAAGGTGTTTTTTACGTATGTGTAAGCGTAACTAATAAAAGTAAACGGAAAGGGGAATTGGAAATTTTGATAATTGAGAAAGAAAATAAAATACTAAAATGAGGGAAATAAAATATCAAAGGTAATCAACCTTTGTTTTGCTACTTTCCACTTGTTGATATATTTTAGTCGATCATTGTTATATCTATAACTTATCCCCTCTCAAATATTCAATTGAGGAGTATCTCCAATTCATCGAGGGTAGTTATTAACAACGACCGTTCATTAATAACCGTTACTATTAGTCAAGTATAGAACACCGCCATATACCGACTTGATAGTAGCATTAATCTCTTAACTCCTTGATGAAATCAATTGAGATTGGTAACCTCAACACAACGGTTTCGGTTTAACCAACACAATTAATCCCTCTTAAGTTTATTAACCACGACCGTGCATTAATAAACCGAAGTTACTTACTTGTGAAACCATCAATGATTAACCATCGGCTCTTTGATCGTTTCTAGTAGTAATTAATGTCGAGATGTTAACTAATTGTCATCTTAGCAACACTCCTCAACATTAATATAGAGATAGATTAAGGGAAGTATTAATATTCAAGGGAAGAAGTTAAGAAAATAACTCACAACTTTAATAATCAACAAGCTTCAAGACCAAAACCAAGCTCAAAAGACTACCTAAAGTACAATAATAATGTGTATATGAAAGAGGGGATTAATTGATATCTCAAATAGGAAGAAAAAGGGTGATTTTATAGGAGAAGTGAGGTGGTTGGGTCTAAAACATAATCTGATTTATTTTCTCATGTTCACTTGCTTTATTTGATCTCTTATGATCTCCAGGTCAAATCATATCCGATTTTTCACATTTCTTTGTCCTCCATGAAGCTTCCTCTTGTCTCCAATGCTCCTACCTTATGCTCCCAAGCTCCTTCCTCTTCTTTTCATCATGTTTTTGCTTACATGTCAAAATATCTTAATATCTTCTAATTCTACTTTAATTTTAGAAAATAAAGATTACACCGTAATTGTACAAAAGCTAAGTAAACATAATGTAAAACCATTCTAAAATGTGGTGTTTATGCACTACTAAATAGTACGCATCAGTGCTCGATTCGCGATTCGAATTCGTATAAGGCTAATTGAATTCGAAAAATTTAAATACAAATATAAATAAGAATACTAAATTTGATTTGAATTGTTATCAAATACAAATAAGAATATCAGTGTATTTGATTCGAATGTTAATCAAATATATTCGATAAACAGTAGTGATAATAATTATAATAATATTAATAATAATAGTGATAACATTATAATAATTATTAAAATATAGCTATACCCGCAAAGTGTAGCTCATATATACATTTATGTATACAAATTTCAAGCCTATTTGTAATAAATCAGAAGTATCATATGGGGAGTAGATATGTAAATGAAGCAAATAATTTTAATTCGATTTGTGATTTAGATAAAAGAAATTATGATTTAAATTTGAAAATATATAATATAAATACAAATACAAATCAACTTTTTGGTTCAAATATCCTTCAAATACGAATACAAATAATTATGTATTCAATTCAAAGAACAATCAAATATATTCGTTTATAGATATACAAAATCAATTACCTAATATACATGTGTGTGCACCAACTATCCACTATATGTGTGTATATATATAGTTTAAATTATACTCTGTATATCTAATGGTTTTTTAATAGCAACAATGCTAAATATCTAACATAAAATTAGAATAGTTTATCTTTGGTATATACAATTATCAACTTATTTCACACATTATAAGTATAATTTCTAATATGTGTGTGTTAGTGTTTATTTCAAAATGTTTGAAATAGATGTATATTTAAAAATCATAAAATTGATTCACTTTATTATATTGTACACGATCTAAAAGTGCATTGAGCCATTAATTTTTAAGAAAATGTAATAATACAAATCAAATTCTAAAAACACATATTAAGTCATGGCATGCATTTATAACATAAAAATATAGTAAAAATTATTTTGAAGTGATATTTGACTAATGTTTGACTTATGATCAAATCGATTCGATATTCGTATATGATTCGTTAACTATTCATATTGTTGAACAAATACAAATGCAAATCGAAATTAATATTATTTTCATATTCGAATTTGGATTCGTATTTGAAACAATTAAACAAATAATACATATACAAAATCTCACTATTCGACTCGACTCGGTTCTTTTGCAACTTGCGCTACTTGCGCCTTTCACCGGCGGAAACAATTTTGTGGGGCTCTAGAAGTAGCTATCTGAAAGGGGCCTAGAGAAGATGGACTCTAAATGGAGATTGTAGGGTTTGAGGGTTTTGTTGGGGCAGCGCTTTCTCTTTGGTGGCAATAGATCGAGGTTCAGGCGGTAGGCGAGCGGCAATGGTTTGTGTAGCGGTCAGTTCGGAGCACTCTTTGGAGAAAGCGGGCGCCAGGGGATTGGGAAGGAGTCGGCAACCAGACGCTCTTGGCAGAAGGTTTTGGTTGGTCACTTAGAGCCCGTTTGGAGACCCCCTTTTTCGGCTTATCAGGCTTATCAGCCAGCTTTTTCACCAAACACGTAATTTTTACTTTCGCGTGCTGAATTGTGTAATAAGCAGAAAAAGTAAGGTTGAAGTTACTTTTCTGGCTGTATTGGCTGAAGTTACTGTACATGACCATTTTAGCTATTTTTACATGTAATTTTTTCTTTATTTTATTAATAAAATATATTTTTAAAATATTTTTTCTAGAATCAGCAGAATCAGCCAAAACAGCCACTTCAGCCAGAACTTCATAAATTTCAGCAGAAACAGCCAAAACAGCCGATTTTTGTGCTACCAAACGGGCTCTTAGTCATGGCTTGGCTTGTCACCAAGGAGATGATGATTGGCGTGTGGATAACAAGCAAATGAGGAAGAAGATGCAGTACTGTCACTCCGTCCCCTCTTGAATAGCTGTCGTGGAGGGATCGTGTGACTATGGTTGAGAAGACGTTGTTTTAAGTTTGGATTTGGCCACACACAGTTTATTGCTTTATATTCCTTTCACAGCTTTAATTATGTTTTTTAGAATTTTTACTTTGTTTTAGATTTGTTTGTGTTAGTGGCTTTCTTGAGGTGCTTATGGCCGTTATTTACCTCGAAGCTTCCGTATGTCCAGCGAAAAGTTTCGCCAAGTTTTGGGCGAATTTTACTAAGTTTGATCAGGAGCTCAGTGGACTGTTCGGATATTTTGAATTTATTGATGTGGTTAAGAGTAAGGTGACCTTAAAGTATACGAAGAACTCTATGTTGCTCGCTCGGTGGTCAGCGATTCACGCTGCTTCTTTGGCGTTGGTCGTCTCAAAATATGATCGTAAGACCTTTCTTGCAAATGGCAACATAATCAGACCCAATTTCAACTCTCTTCATATCATTCCACACTTGGATTTTAGTTTTCTTTGACACGTTTTAGCAACTGGTTCATCCTTCATTGAGCCCCTCAAGGTATGAATCCAGATTTTGAACTTCAATTCCATCCACAGTGCTATCTGGTGTGTCTTGATTTGGATGAGTTAGCTGACTTGGATCGGTTTGAGACGACATCTGTAAAATAAATTAATGTATATTAAATTATATTGCAACTAAACTAATAATTTATTACCTAATTTACAAAAATTTGAAAGCTTGATGTACAAAGATATAATGTATACAACCAACAATAATCAATGTATGGAAAATGGGGCAATATTATTAACCTTCCGTTTAAAAATGGTAACTAAATCACGATGATAACTAGTAATGAGAATTAAATATGCTTGAACTAACTTAAGAAAGATAATACATGGAACATAGTAATCATATTAGCTAATACAAACTATCAAACTGAATTCATCAATATCAAGTGACATCTCTGTATAAAGATGGAAGTATGAAACAAACTAAAATCACATATACAGATTGAAGAAGGCAAGATGTTACCTCTTACTCTCTTACTGGCTCGAACGCCTCAGGAATCAGGAACTTCTTGAGGCTTAGATTGATTCTCGTAGAGCTTATTAGCGTAATATATAGCTCTCTCAATCTCTCGTTCTCTTTTTTCGATTTACGGCTTGCAGCGGCTTTGTGTCGTTTCTTTCTCTCACACAAGAATATTGGTACTTAGGAGTTTGGAGTCTGGTAGAATAATAAAATATTAGGTCACAACACTTTCTGGGCTTCGCGCGCCTACCGGGCCCACAAGGGTTAATTTTTTTGGGTAGAACTGTATAAGGATATTAGTTTGAGACTTGAGTATGTATTAATGTATATAAATCAGGCACTAGTGTTAGGTATGTATTACAGAGTACTGTATTACTAATAATTTTAAACAGGTGCGGTCTTTAACGGCCAGGATCATATGTATCATACTCAACCCATTTATTAAAAAATACAAACGAGGTAACGTGTCCGATTTCGGATTCGGGTAGACGAAATAAAACTTATACTCATACTCGTTTAAAAAATCGGGTCCAGGTCTAGACCCGGTCCATTGACAGACCTCTTTGGAGACCCCGCCCCGTATTCAACAATCCACACCCTTAAGTCAAAAGAAAAGGCATTATCTTTCATGAATTCGTTCTACCTCTCGATCCTTGCTACTAAGTAACATGCTTTTGCGCCCGTCGATAAAGTTTTAATCCGACGATTACAGTTTAAACTGTTCTTCAAAAACTTGCAATCCGCGCCTCCCCATTTGGACCTATCGCATCTCTTTTTCCCCTTCAGTGTATTTTCATATAAATCCAGCGCCACTTCGATTTCCTACTAACATTCCGTTGAGATTCCCTGCTTTTTGTTCGTTTTCTAGACTTTGTACTGTTCTAACGAACTTATGGCCGGTAAATCGGCAGCCGCCGGCAAGGCCAGGAAAGCTTCCGCCACAGGAAAGGTCGGGAAAGCTTCCGCCACCGTTAAGGCCAGGAAATCAGCCGCCACTGGAAAGGTCGGGAAAGCTTCCGCCACCATTAAGCCCAGGAAATCAGCCGCCACTGGCAAGGCCGGGAAAGCTTCCGCCACCGTTAAGGCGAGGAAATCAGCAGCCACTGGCAAGGTCGGGAAAGCTTCCGCCACCGTTAAGGCCAGGAAACCAGCCGCCACTGACAAGGCCGTTAAAGATGCTGACATTAAGAAAATTCGCAATCCTAGCTATTCCGATGTAGGTTTTTATAATTCCGTATTTTGTCTTCGATGAACAATCATTGAATTTGTGTTTAAATGATCTTAATGGCTGCATTTGTTGGAAACCTAGTTGATTATTGAGGCAATTAGCACGTTGAAGGAAAGGAATGGATCGAGCAGGCCGGCGATTGCGAAGTTCATTGAGGAGCATAAGGCTTTGCCCCCGCCCTCCTTATTTAAGACGCTCTTATCTGCCAGAATTAGAGAACTCCTCGCCTCTGAAAAGATTATGAGGGTGAAGAAGTCCTATAAGCTTTTTACCCATCCAAAAACCGCCACCGCTCAGGCCGGTAAACCTTTAAAACCCGCAGTAGCACCGAAGAAGAAGGCTACTACTGCCGCTGAAAAGCCAAAGGCTGGCAAGAAGACAAAGGTTTCAACTCCGGTTAAAAAACCACCGGCCAAGGCCGCCGCACTGAAGAAAAATGTGGTGAAGAAGGCCGTCGTATCTAAGTTAAAGAAGACGCCGGTCAAGAAGGTGGCTTTATCTAAGTTAAAGAAGACGCCGGTTAAGAAGGGCAAGACAATCAAGCCCCCTGCCAAAAAGGCTAGGAAATGAATTAGTTGCCTCACTTGCCTGATTGGGTAACTTATCACTTTCGGTTAGGGTTTGTAAATTTCAGGTTTTGTGATAATTCAATAGCTTTTGCTATGATATAAGTTTTCATTGACACCATTGATCATTGGTGGTAATAGCTTTTAGTAGTTTTGAACTCAGTTATGTAATATTTCAACTTATGTGCTGAAATGAAAAGAGTTGCATTGCCATCGATGTTTCCTAGATATTTCAACTTATAGAATGCTGTTATTTTCCATTAGTTTGATGTTCTTTAACCACAATACAATGAGTAATGTTTAATACTCCGTACTTTAATGTCTTGAAATGAATTGTCAAAATGAGCTGCTGTTTCTTTTGTAGGGATGGAAAAACATGCGCCACATTCACTTCATCACCTACAGATTGAAAATCACACAATGTCACAATGTATGAAAAAATACAGTGAATGTTGAATGTGTTACTGCTTGAGAATGTTTGAAGATTTTTGCTGGATTAGTATGATTCTTAGTTATTTCTGCTTTAGAAAATGGACCATTCTTGCTGAAATGAACTTCAGAATTTACTACTACTACTACTACGAATCAAGTATTATTCAGAACAATGTGCTTAATATTTGTATGTTCGTCATTTCCTTACAACTAAAGGAACATTCCACTTAATATTACATTAATTTGTTTACTGCTGAAAAGCTCTGAAGATTTGTGCTAACTACAAGCACTATTACCTATAATTATTTGCTAAATATTTGTATGTTCAGTCATCACAATGTTGGAGATAACAACAAATTATTTTTTCACCTTAAACAAAAAAATAATACACATTTTCTGTATAAAATACTCCGTATTAAAATATGATACCCCGTGCTAAATTTATTACTGACTGGAAATATTGAAGATCCTTGCTCAAATGAAGTTCAGAAATTAGTTAAATTACTCAGAATGATTTGCTAATTTGTTTGTATGTTCTTCATTCATCATAATGTCAAAGATTACTGAAAATAATTGTCACCTTCAACACAAAAAAGAATACACATTTGTATGTATGGTGAATGAGTACAAAATCAGTTCTGTAACTGGAAATGGAACATATCATGATCAATATTATGTTTCTTCATGGCAATCAATTAAGCAACCCCTTGCAGGTTTGCATTTTGTTTTTTTGGTGTTGGATTTCAAATTCCTAACTTCAACCTCTCTTCAACTTTGATCCGCAGCTCATCTTCAGATGGAATCTTGCCTCCAGTCTCTGAAGTCTTGCACCACCAGGTCATAAGTTCATCCTGCGAAGTGAGTTTCCATTGACTTCATTGAAGGTTCCGCTTTTCTATTCGTCCAAGGAGTGATAAATGTGTCCAGTGCACCCCACAAAACACTATTTCACTATTTTAAATTGTAAATAGAAATAAAATGTGTACCTCGAGAAAATCTTGGTTTGAGACATACTGGCTTCCGATGGAGCAAACAATGCCACAAAGACTTACTGAGATGCACTTTGAATCTTTTGTTGAATGGTCTCTTTGGGACTCTGTTATTTACAATACATGCATTATGGGTATTCAACAGTTAATATTAGCCAAGAAATTAAGAGATGCTTCTCCCATAATCCCATTAACAACCAATGTAGAGATTCTGTGAAGGGTAAAAATATATACCAGCTATACGAGCTATGTAGTAGCCTGTTCCTCCTAACCCGCCTTGTTCCCACCTTCCCAATCTTAGGCGCAAGAAAAAACCATCCAAGTGGGACAGTGAGGCATTGGAGTTTAGCCATCTGAAGAAACCCAACAGTAGTTAGTCAATCCTTGCATACATAACAAACACAGGTAGATACAAATTTACATGTCTTTTTGGCTGAAGTTGGTTTAACAAATGCTGTCCCTTTCAAAAGCTTTGCATGTCCATGCATTTTAGCCAAATAACCCTTGCTAAAACCGTGGTTTAAAAATAGAATAGATTATTTTTTTAATGTACCCAAAGAAGAGAGAAGGGTAAAATGTGATCTATGAAAACACTATTACTAATGGAAAAGTAAAGCATTCCTTAAGTGCGCTTGAAAATTGTGATGACAAAGTTTCGAAGATAAAGCACTTTCTATCTGAAGAACAGTACTTTACCTTTGAAGTGTGTGGAGAGAAATAAAAGAAAATCCTGGTAAATCTTTAAAATAGCATTTCTTTGAGCTTACTTAAGAAAATACCATATTTGGGCATTCTGGAGGAAGATGAAATTACTTTTGAACTTATGACAAAAAACCATCTCATAAAAGTGCATAAAGCATAAACCAACCCAACAGGTTCTTAATATGCTTACTTGAGGATATCTCCACGGGACACACGTAACCTCCTAATAGCATCAAAAGCTCCATTTGGCACACTTGACTTCAGATTATGAACCAGGCTATTAGCATCAGTGAAATATCTAGATTTCTCTTTCCATCCTCCCCCTATGTGATTCACCATAACTTTAGAACACCCTTCCTCCTTTCCGACAAAGTTAGAGCCATTAGAACAATAATTTCCTTGTTTCCCCCAAAATTGCCCTCCTCCTGAAGATGCCATTGGACATGTAACAGCCCAGTGATCGAGCTTAAAACATCTAATGCAAAAAGAATGAGAACCTTCGGCTGCCCATTCATATGAACACACATTATTTCTCAAAAGATCCTCCTGTTCAATCTCATCTGCTTCCAAACAGCTATGTAAGTCATGCCCAGTTCTTCCACAGAACAAACAGATCGCTTTTGTCATGCAAGTTGCTTCATTTCTTGAATCTGAAGGTATGATATGTTTAAAGGCATCTAATCTCCTTGCAAACAATGATGTCATTGCCTCTGAGCTTTTCAGTTTTTGGGAAGGTGTAATGGGGTTTAATTTATGTATGGATTTCTTATCATCTTTGAATGCAATGGAAGCATCGTCTGCTAGAGTATTATTACGCGGAATGTCCAGTAACATATCATAATCCGGATCTTCTGGAAAAGTCCCCTTTAAGTCAGTATCTTTGTTATTACAGACAGCTTGTTCAGATGTTAGAACATTAAGGTCAGGCTTAGCACAATTAGCTGTCTCCTCTTTATTTTCTCTGCATTCGGGTAAGTTTAGGGCCGTGTTTGGGTCACGGACAGAGAAACGGGTAATCCAGAAGCTTTGAAGGGAACTTATATCCGATGTGTTTTTTGTTGCTTTGTTTTCAGAATGGTGACTAGGACTGATGCTCTCTCCATTGTTTCCGGTTCTTAGCATGCACATTGAACCAGAAGAGCTACCTCCTGCTTTCTCTTTGTTTTCAGGGGTATTTGATTTACAATTCTGAGACATTATTGGGGATTTAGGAGAAGAAGCCCCTGCTTCTTCCTCCATGTCTGTTGTGTCGATGATTTTATCATCACAATTTTCCTCCCGGTGGCATGTTAATGGAGAAACCTCAATAACCATCTTGTCATCTAAGAAAACATCCTTGGATTCTCCAGCAGAAACTTCGTCTTTTGATGCTATTTTTTCCGGTGAACTATAAAGAGAATGAAACTTGGCTTGGAACTCTATGTTTTTGTCAATGGCTGCTGCGTAATTAATCCCCACATGGTTGAGGGTAGAACGAGTTAGAGCAAGGGCAAGAGAAGGAACTTCCTCTTGTTCTGCACCTTCTTCCTCTTGTTCTTCATCTTCTTGGTTTGGATTTGAGAAGCCATTCACCATACTCGAAATCCACGTCATGAAAGAGCTGTTTCCACCAGCTTTTGGGGTGACATCAGAAGAATCTATTTCCGATTGTTTTTTCATTTTTTTGTTCCCGCCAAGAGACATCCTCGTACTGTTGCAACTTTCCACACTCTCATGGCTAGTGTCTTCTTCCTCATCACCATCTGAAAATGCTTTACTTTTTCCCTTCCTTTTATGTGAACAAGAAGAAGTTCTTATTTGTGTGGAATAGGCTTGAATAGGCATAGAATTGTATCTTTTAAGCTGACTTCCTTCTTTTACGGTTGAGTTTTGCACATCATTTTCAGCAGTGCGTTCAATCTGTTTCAGGGTTGATTCAGGCAATGGAGCTACAATAGGCTCAGAACTACTTGAAGGTTGGAGTTCTTTTAAGGGCGTTCTCGGAAGGGGCAAATCAGAAGATATTGGGTAACTGGCATTGTCTTCATTTCTGCTGCAACTGCTTGCAGCTACTTCACTGCCCCTTGTAGGCACTGACTTAGTCATTGCTGGGTCACATGTGGGACCCGCCACTTCAAGCCGAGATACCGCAGTTTGGTTCTCTTCACCACCTGCAGTTTGGTGTTGTTATAAAGAGCTAAACTTTGAATGAAAAATGGTTTGCAAGACATGTGCCGAATAAAGATTTAATATGGTAATGTATGATATAAAGTGCGAGTCACTATAGATGTGTTGGGTCACTCTTGTGATTTTTACCAAGCAATTATAAATTTTGTCAAAACCTGATGTGCTTGAAAAGATAAATGGTTTAAAGCATATTTATTGCTTTGACTTTCAAGTTGTTTGGAGCTTATTTTTAAGTTAAACAAATGAACTTTAGGAGAAATTTGATGTTGTAGCTTTAAATGGAAGAACAATACCAAATTAGGTCATAAACATGCTCTGAGAAGAGAGAAAATTATTAGAAGTGTGACTAAAAGAGGTGGTGATTCCTA